TCTACATCTCTAATCCATGAAAATAGAAATTAGAGCAATAAAAATAGAGAAACACAAATGAATTAAGTGTAAATCAAACTAACATTTGGCAAAATATTTAAAACATAGTTCAAATAAAGTTACATCAAGTCCTACAATAATATTCTAGCTCAACATAGAGGAATCCATAACCAAAAATAAAATCTAAAAAAAAACTAACAAGGAAATAAAGGGAGAAAGAAGAACTATGTTGGAAGAATGATCTTTTAAGCTTGAATCCACCATCTTCTTCAAGGATCTTCAATGAAGTAATGTGATTTAAGCCTCCAAAATTCCTTCTTCTCTAGGGATTTTGTGCCTCTATTTCCTCTCTTCCTCCCCCAATTTGATTCTTAGAACATTTGCCTTTTATATACCCCTCAAATCAGCCCTAAAATGACAACATTATGCGTTAGCACTGCAGCAGATCAATTTCTCGCTACAGCGCCATTGGGATTTCTAAAAATCCCTAGTAGCGTAGGCAAATCCATTACAGCAGGTGTTTTTTCAGCTGCAGCAGGTTCTTTCAGCCCCAAATTGTCCAATCTGCTGCAACGGGTGCATTTTCCCACTGCAGCGGGTTTCTGACTTTAAGGAGGATTTTCACATTCTATATGGCCGAATTAGCATTTGGTGTCTTCATGAAAGTTGTAGCTCTATCTCTTATCTTTTCAAGGCTACAAAGATCACTTCATTTAGACTTCAGATGACAAAGTTATGCCCAAAATACTGAACTATTTTCTGAAGTCAACTTTTCACTCATTTTATTCTATTTTAGCTTCAACCTATAAAAACAAAATAAAACACATTAAACTAACAAAAATACTCGAAAACTTACAAATATTTGAATTCAAAGGTACTTGATTTGTCGGTAAATAATCTCCTCATTAAATACCCCCAAACTCATACATTTGCTTGTCCTCAAGCAAAACAAAAGAAAGCAAAATAGAAATAAAGGAGAAAACAATGTAAACCAACAATAACTTAAAAACTAAAGTGGGAGTTTTGTATTCATTCGATAGCTAGACATATATCTCAAAGGCCATGCAATACATAAAAGTTCAAAGGAAATGCAAATACTGTGATTTTCTAGAATTTCAACATCAAGCACCAATTTCACCTCATTCAAGACTCTCTAAGTGTAAGTGTGTGCCGAATCAGTCTCACTTAATCAATTTAACCCTGATAGATCTAAGTGCTTCGACAGCATTTTTCATGTTGCTCTCCACTAATGTCGACTAGAATGTCATCAAAGATCAATAGGTCTTTTAAGGGTTATAATGTAAGGCTAGAGTGTAAGGTAGATGACATGAAAAATTTTAGGCTTAAGATCACCCTAGAAATGAAAGGCACCCCATGAATCTTGCATAAATGATTTGAAACTCACCCACCAACTCCTACTTTGCTCAATTCTCTATTTACCATCATTCCCACAAAACTTTATTCATGAATAAACTCGAAACACAAAAACAAGAAATTCATAAGAATTTATTTTCTTTTTGTTCTTTTCTTTTTTTTTTTTTTTGAATTCTCAAACCGAACTGTACAATCCACTGCAGTGGGTGGATTTTCCCGCTGCAGCGGGTTTCTGATTTTGAAGAGGATTTTCACATTCTATATAGCCGAATTAGCGTTTGGTGTCTTCATGAAAGTTGTAGCTTTGTCTCTTATCTTTCCAACCCCACAAAAATCACCTAATTTGAACTTCAAATGACAAATTATGCCCAAAATATTGAAGTATGTTCTGAAGTCAACTTTTCGCTCATTTGATTTTATTTTAGCTTCAGCCTACAAAACAAAATAAAACACATTAAACTAACAAAAATACTTAAAAACTTACAAATATTTGAACTCAAAGTACTTGATTTGTCAGTAAATAACCTCCTCATCAGCATACATTAGGCTCCTCTGTATAATTAATCCCGGCATGTTCAGCGACTTGATGTGCTTGTGGCTCCATACTTTTTTGAGGCTTTTCCCGTTGTGCGTTAAGTTTGTGCTTTTGTTCATTATTCTTATTGTATATCTTGCACAATACGAATTCATCCATCTGCGGAAATAAATATAAGTTATTTACGATTCGAGCTAAAACAATTTGTTTAAGATAATGTGCCTAGAGAGAAGTAAGAACAAAATTATGAAAACATTGAAATTTGAATCAAGTAAAAACTAGTTTAGTTTGAATGAATAAGAAACAAAATGATTATACCTTTCTGGAGCCGGATAGAGTGGTATATTCATACATAAGCCAAGCGGTCATGTTGCCTTTAGCAACAAAGTGGTTGAATTACATCTTGTATACGATTACTTCTTTGTCGGAATTTTTTATGGCTATCTTTTTAGTACTACCTTTCCAAAATCCCACTTTGATATGCCACCGTTTGGATCCAGTACGGCTCGGCCGAGTTGCAGTAGGAGTGTTGAGCGTTCGTTTCGTGAAAAAATACATCTCAGTTTCTCGGTGTGCTCCATATTGATCTGTGTGTGTGTGTGTGTGTATATATATATATATATGTATGTATGTATAGAAAACAAGTGAAGCATAAATTTTACTACAGAACTTGATGCTGGTTCTGTGATTAATCCAATATTAGAACCAATTAGCATTTAGTAATATTCTAATTCTAAAGTTAGCAAGTGATTTGTGCAATAGCACTTACAATTTTTTCTTTTTTAAAAAATACGTTACCATTATTTACATTGTGTCGTTTCTGTGCTGCTTAATTTGATCGCTTTTCGTATTATATAAGAGATTTTTTTCCTTTTTATAACTTATGATGTACGGCTAGGATCCAATTGGCAGCAACAGGGTTTTTTTTTTAAATAAAAATAAAGAAATAAAAGAAATCTTGAGAGAGGAAAAAGAAAGAGATATAAAAGACAAAGTTCTTTGACGGTGTTGGAGAGAAGTGGTTGATTCATGATTTTTCTGAGCAAGTAATAAGTTATGAGCTCCTCGTCCTTAGGCACAAATCTATAGCCTAGCGGTAGATTTTCCATTGTGACGTTCACACAACAAGAACAAGGTTTCTTTCTGTTTCTTGGAGAGAAAACAAAGAAAGAAAGAAAAAGAATAATCTGCAGATTTCTGGGCTTTATAAGCGCTCTAGAGAGAGAAACAATTTGGAATGATGAAAGTGAAACAAAAATTCAGTTGAGGACGTGGCTTATATAGAGGATTAAAGAGTATATATAGTACCAATTAATTGGATAAGTATATGAATTAATTCCTCAAGCTTGTTGAATTAATATATGATAATCGTTTGCAATTATAAGAGTAGAGACCTAGTCAAATCCTGAAGCTTGTTGGATTAACATCAGATTGGTTTGTAAATCTAATTCTAAGGAGCTGTCAATTACACTTATGTAGTTTTAAAATTCAAAATTATTTTCTGTTCTCGCATTTGTTTCCTGATATTTAGTTGGTAGAATTCTTACGTTTGGTTCATAAATTCAAAACTATAATTTAAAACTATTCTCGTTTTACGTGTGTTTTTTATGAGAGAAAAACACTGTAGAGAACCATGAATCATAATTTAGAATCAGAGTTGGATACAAAAAACAAACATCGCTTAAAACTTCTCCTGGAGGGATTCATATTCTCATTTTCTTCTTTATTTTTCTTTCATTTTCTTCCTAAAGTTGTGTTTTTGTTTCCGTGTATTTGAATTTTCTTCAACATGTTTTCGATATATCTTTCGTCGCGCGTTCATGGTTCAGATGAGAATAACATTTTCATCCTTTTCGTCGACAATTTACTGTGATTTAAGTAAATATAGCTATTAAATAAAGAAAATTAGAAGACATAAGATAAGAGTTCTCAAATACGGCATTTAAAAGAAAACTAAAAAGAGAGCATGGAAAACGACACAAGAAAAAGAAACCGACAATAATTTGTCGATGTAGAGGAATTTAGTTAAACGACAAGATAAAGAAAACAAACACACGAAATTGTAAGATAAGGACAGCGAAGAAGGCGAGAAAGAGTAATAAAAATAAAAATAAAAAAAACCTAATAAAACGAAAACCCCAACCAAAACTAATATTCACAGATAATCCCTAACCTATTTAAACGGTAACAATTTAGTCCCTCTTTTTAATTATGATAAAACGCCTCTCAAACTCCTTAAACAGGTGCATATAACACATTTACGTCATATATGTCACTATTTTAACAGAATACCACATGTACAACACATGTGACCTGTTATTCAAGGGCATTTTAATAAATAGTAATTTTATATACTAATAAAAATTAATAAAGAAACCACGTTCATACCCAAAAAAAAAAAAAAAAAATTACGAACCAGAAACTTCATAGCTCCACAAATCTGCATATTCGAAAACTCGTGACCTTTTCTAATTACCAAACAATATTTCCTTTGTGAGTACATCCTTAGCTCTTGGTGTTTCCAAAAGAAAAATGCAAACAACAAGCCTCAGATAAAAACTAAAAACTAAAAATAAAAATAAAAAAAATTGTTCATTCATTTTCCCAAACTAAAAATAAATAAATAAATTTCAAACGGGAAACTTCTGTAAAACCAGAAACTTTCCCCAAATACAACCATAGCATTTTCCATCTCCTTCAGCAGCTCCCCTCCTCTAACTCTCACGCAATCTCACACCCAAACCCAACTGAGCATATTTCATTGTATGTTCCCAAAAGATGACGAACTTTATATTTTATTGAATGTTCCCAACAGCAGACAAACTCTAATACCAGAGAAATGCCAAGAAGTAGAAGAATCCAGATAAATTAAAGAGTACATGATTAATTGAAAAGGACAGAATACACACATACATTTCGTTTTACAAAAAGTTTATTCATTCCCTTCAGGAAAAAAAAAAAAAAAAAAAGAAGAAGGAAAGTTGATTCATTAAATTCTGATCATGAGTATTAATGGATTTAGTGATAAAAGGAGCACAGGTTAAGGTCTTGGACAAAATCCATTAGATCGCAGGTTAAGGTCTTACTTTCCCCCTAAATTTGTTCTTATACCAAAAGTATATCCCAAACAATGGAGTTCTCATGTGATCCGATGCATTAGTGCTAGTATGATGCATCCTTTGACTCGATCGCACCCTATTTTCTTTTCATCTACCAAAAGAAAGAGGAAATATAAACGTTTTCCTATTGCTTTCTTTTCTACCATCTTTTTACAAAAACTAAATTTCCCTTAGCTCAAGCATCAAGCTTACACACAAAAACGGAGAGTGAAACAAAAATCATTCTTCCAAGCGATCCAACTCTTTCTCCCACTTCAGACCAAACATTTGGCGGCCGAAAGGAACAATAAGATTATACCGAAAAACCTGCACTACCCATATTTAACACATCTCAGTTTTGTTCTTTCGAATGGTAAAGAAAATACATTTATGCCAAAACAAAGAATATGGAGGTTTCTCTCATAGAGTAAGTTCTAAAAAGTTTCATTTTTGTTCCAATTCCGCTAAACTGTTGTTCTATTTAATTTTGTATGATTCTGAGGGAAGATCATTTAACAGTTCACAACTATATTGTATCATCCTAGAAAACATGGATACATTACATAGATATCTTCACATCGATGTTAATGGGCATTGGGTGCCCAATTCACATATAAACATCCCAGCAGCCAATTAACATAGCAATGTGGGACAAATTCACAATCTAACAATCGAGACATAAACCTCATTTGTCAAATGTTAAATGACTCACCTTGTCATTGATGTCTCGCAATTGATGCTTTAATGCCTCAGAACTCTCATTCCATTTGGAGTAATCTCCATTGCATTTGCTTGTCCATGCTCTTTTCAAAGACAATCTCCATTCAGAAACCTTACTCCTTATCTCCTTGTTGAGTTCAACCCACTCCGGGGCACAACCATTCTTTGATAGGATTCTATACAAAGTATCTTCAGCTGGGTCTGCATGAGGATTTGTACTCAGATTAAGGGGTTTTCCTTTCCCGGGTAAATTATCAAATTGACCCTCTTCCATGGAATGCCAAATTCTTTGCTCAACCACATTGATTATATCAGTTTCTGACCTGTCCAAAGGACCAAATACAGAAAGTCACAACACAAAAATTTCTTGCCATTTCTTGATGAAATTTGGACTTTGTAAGGACTTGAGCGTTCATCTTAAAAGGCCAAACTGTTAATGAAGCGATCTAATGTGCTTGTAAGTAAGTATCCTTCTTTTTCTGTATTTAAACAATGTGAGACTCAGTTTCTTTTTATCCTTTACATTTCTTTCCTCATGTGGATAAAGAACTGACGTAGGAAATCTAGAAATCCAAAGAACGAAGTGATTGGCAACGAGAGATCGAGTCAATACTCGCTGGAAATTCTATAATCGAGCTCAAAAGCTAAAGAGATAAACAGGTAAGAAGAAGTTGAATATTCAGGCTTTCCATTAGGGGTGTAAATCGGCCGGGTAGGGTAGGGTTGAGCCGAAAAATTGAGCCTACTCGACCAGTGTGGGTTGAGAAAATTTTAGGCCGCGACACTCTCTTAAGTCTACAAACCCACAACCTTTCGGGTGACCTCGGGTAGGGTCGGGTTACTCGGGTTACTTGGGTTACTCATGTTGGTGATCTCAATGACCACATGATCACTTTTTAGTCAATTAATCTGTGCTTGTTACAGAAGAAATCATTATCAAACAGAACATGTCTTTCCTTCAAGAGGGGGTCTAAATGCAAGGTGAATAATTAAAACACTCACTTTGAAATCAAACACTTCCAATATAAATAAAGAATGTCATAATTTAACAACTATAACATACAAGCATTTTTTACACAAACAGTGAATCCAAAACATAAATAAGTTAACAGTTTAAATGCATAAAGTCCATAAACTTATGAAAGTAAGAATTTGAGTGTTGGACATTATTTTACCTACTTTGAACATGTTCGGCCGGGTAGGGTTACCTCGGGTTCATGTAACCCCACCCCGCACCCCTACCCACGCAGTGGGGGTTAGACATAATTAAAACTAAAAATTAAATAAAAAATTAGAAACCCGTAATTTTCGAATAGGGTCGACTCGGCTCGGCCGGGTTCGGGGTGATTTCTTACGGCCTACTTTCCATCGAATCAAGTAACAAAATCCAACGACAATAACATGAAGAAAACGACAAAAATACAAAACGAAAGCGACAAACTATATTATTCAAAACGACAGAACTTAATACCAAATGGCGTCAAGAACCAAGAACAGAGAAAATTTCAGGCTTTCCACGTGAAATTATAGCATATTTATTATAAACCAAGCATTTTCGTGCCTTATAATTAATCACTAAATTCGCTTCCTTTTCCATAGTATCAATAAATGAAACTCTAGGCTAAATTAGCTATAGATTCAAAAAGTTAAAAAAAAAAAAAAAAAAGGAGAAAAATTGGGAGCTGATC